CAAATAGGAAAGCTTAAAGCACAGGTCAAGTGTTGGTCCAAAGCACAGCAAGTAAGTTCTTCAAGCAGGATGCCACTTTTTCAAAATGCAGTTTTCTGTCCACTAGTGGGCAGTCAAATCAGTGGTCTCAACTGTGGTGGGTGGTTGTGAGCCATGGCATTGGTTCCTACGCATAGTGACCCTGTACAGGGTTTCCGGGGCTGCAAATCTTTACGGGAGAGAAAGCATCATCATTCTCATGCGTAGCCGCTGGCAGTTTCAAACTGCTGACCTTGAGATTAGCTACCAGAACTCCTTAGGTCTTAACTGGCCATCTACTTTTAGGAGGATACAAGCCGCTCTGTTAAGATTCACAGCCTCAGAAACCCTACACAGGGTTGCTGTGAGCCAGAATCGGCTCTACAACCACAACCACAACCATGGAGCCCTGGGAAGCGCCCTGGTAGCAGAGTGGGTTGCGAGTTAGGCTTTAACCCCGAAGTCAGCAGTTCGAATCTACTAGCCGCTCCTTGGGAGAAAGATGACGCTTTCTGCTCCTGTAAGGATTTACAGCCTTGGAATCCCTACAAGGCACCAAGCACCCTGCCATATGGAGGCCTGGTGGCACAGCAGCTAAGCACTCAGCTGTCAGTTGGTGGTCTGAACCCACTGCCACTCCATGGAAGATGTGGAGGTCTGCATCCGTAAAGATTTACAGCATAAGGAGCCCTCTGGGGCCGGTTTCTGTCTCACGGGGTCACTAAGTTGGAATCGATGATGGCAGTGGGCTTAGATTTTACAGAGCCCCTAAAGAGCCCTGGTGGCTTCCACAGGACAAAGATCTGGTCATCTGTCCCCATAAAGCCTAGAAAACATAAAGGGGTTACTATGAACCAACAGCAATAGTTTTGGTTTTTATAGAATCCCTGGATGTTGCAAACGGTTAAGCACTCGACTGCTAGCTAAAAGGTTGCCTCAGGAGACAGGCCTGAGGAGCTGTTTCCCAAAGGCCACTGCCCTGGAATCCTACTGAGCTACTGCGCTCCACACCATGGGCCGCCAGGGTGGAATCCACTGGGTGGTAACTCACCGCTGAGTCCTGCTGAATATATCCTTTGCTAAGCTTTATAGGCCTGCCTGGCTTTCCTGGTCAGGGTGGTCATACCACTTTGCCCTATCAAGAATTGTACCTCACCAGCATTCAGTGCACTCTTGACAGGTTCTGGCTTTCACAGGTTTGCTGTTAAGCGTTATACCAGGTCACAGTGTGGAATCAGGGTCACGATCAGAAAGGCCAGCTGCCTGTCCAGTAACCTGGCCCCACCTGCAGCCCAGCAGCCTGCCTCACAAACTCACCAGTCTCTGACTTTGTTTCCTTCTCTGCAAGACAGGAATAACATCATGAGAATTTAAAGTGTGTAAAGAGCACCTGATCCACAGCGGAGTCTGCACTCATATGATTTCCTCACACAGCCATTCATCCAAGGACCCCAGTGCATCTCTGGGATGCGCCCTGTTTCAGTGTTCCCTAGGAGCAATAGCAGGTGAAGCCCTGGTTCTTGGAGAAAGGGCGGGGGCACTTTCCTACACCAACTCAAACTGGAGTCACAGTCCAAGGGTGGACAGTTAATTCAAGTCAAGCAATTTGGGGTGATTGCTAAGGAAAAGAGCTGGTAGATTACTCTGAGTTTACCGTTACACGCTGTATTCCCCAGAACGGGGTAATACAAGGAGGCTTCGTAAAGTTCAGAGAAATGGACTTAAAAGATATTGAACTATTTGAAGCCCTCTCAGACGGGGTGGGGAGCTGGCAAGAGACCCACTCTGTTCTGCAGGCCTCCAGTGTGAGGTTATCACCAGCACCCTCTCCACAGGCACAGGGGCCAACAGTGGGGTGGGAGGCATGGCCCCTTGCTTCCCCTACACCCACACACACCCACACAGCGTTAGGGAGTGTGAACCCAGAGTCTAGGTACACTTTCCCGTCACCTACTCAGGGCAGCTGGTGACCTCCACCTCCCCAGAACCACCACAGTGCGTGGGTCCCCCCATCTGCGTGTCTTTTGTCCTTTCTCCTTTAGACCTACACACAACTGGTTCACCCAGGAACCCCAAGTTCAGGGTTTGGTTCCAGTGCCTTCCCTAACCCCCTTGAAATGTACACCCATACCCTGCAAGATTTCCTCCCAGGCACTCATCTCCACTAGACCTCTTAGGCAGGGTGCCCTTCCGATATCTAAACTTGGGGTGACCGTATCTGGTTTTACACCAATCCCCACCCAGTCAAGAGTTCAAGTTATCAGAAGGAACAGTTGTGCTTCAGGTAAGTCTAAGCTACGCTATTTTTGACTGTTGTTATGGGTCAAGTCAGTCCTGACTCATAGCGACCCTGTGTTTCCAAAGAGCGGCTGTTGAGTTTGAACTTCCAACTTTGTGGTCAGTCCAGTGCTTTATCCCACAGTGCCAGACTGCGGATGGAGGAAAAGCCGGTCCTGTCCACCACAGAAACCAGGGGACGGTCCTTGAAGCAGATCTTTGGAAATGTGGGCGATCCTGTCACTCTCCAGCCCAGGTTGTCAGAGGACCGGGAACTCCCTGAGGGGCCCCTCAAAAGGAAGTGCAGCCCCCAGCAGGCATGAGCCATTGTCTCAGGCTCTGTACTGGGCAGGAACCCAGCCCACTGGGTACATGGCAACACGTCCATCAGCTGACAAAGGGAATACAGCTTTGCAGTCAGACCTAAGCTCAGCCAGTGACCAGGTGCGGGCCTCCGGGTCCTCCTGGGTACACAGAGCTGATACCAGCCTTTGGCCTGGGGTCCGAGGGGACCACCAGTCAGCCTAGCATGGGGAGCACAGGGAACAGTTGCCACAGAAACATCTAGGACTCCGGTGTTCATTCTCCATCAAACCATTTTAATTTATGACTTTAATTTACAATATGAAACCCATCGCTTCCGGAAGGTGTCACCAGCCCCTGCAGGAACACAAAGTAGAAACTTTAAGGTTTTCATTCTCACCACTTCAAACCCCCAGTCCCTGTCATTCCAACTCTTCACACACTCACAGGACCCCCGTCAGACATCTGTCCTGGCCACAGTGAACCCTGGTGGCACAGTGGATTAAGTTAACCAAAGGTGGTGGTGAAATATGTGGCAGTCTGCTTCTGTAAAGATTCACAGCCTCAGAACCCCGGGTCCGTGGGGTCACTAGGAGTGGGAACACACTCAGCAGCTGTGGGGTGGTTGGTTTTGAACATGGACGCATGGTGGCTCCACAGGAAAAGCACTGGATTGATGGGACCCACCAGCTGCTCCGCAGGGAAAGATGAGGCTTTCTGCTCCCAATGGAACCGACTCGACGGCACTTAACATTCTTTTAAAAGCCTCACGACTGGGCCAATAAGTAAGATGCAAATAAATGAAGAAAGGACTGAAGCTGTCAAGGTGTCCCTGTTCCTCAGAGCCACACCAATGCCTGTGAAAGCAGCAGTCAAGAAATCAAATCACAAACTGAGCTAATCTGCTGCAAAAGACCTCTTTAAAGTGTTAAAATGCAAAGATGTCACTTTGAGGACTAAGGTGTGCCTGACCCCAGAAGAACTGATGAATCTGAATTATGGTGTCAGAAGTACAGGCAGAATGTTCTTTAGAAGTGAGGACGGTTAAGACTTCATCCTGGTGTGGTGCTGTACAACAAGCACTGCACTGCTAACCGCAAGGTCGGCAGTTCAGAGCCACCAGCCGATCCTCAGAAACCCTATAGAGGGTCGCTATGAGTCGGAACTGACTCCACAGCATTTAATATCTGAAGAGACCAATCCCTGGAAAAGGACTCCATTCTTCGTCAAGTGGAGGGTTAGCGTAAAAGGAAGACCCCCAACGAGACAGACTGACACACTGGCTCCAACAGTACCAGCAGCAATAACTGGGGGGGGGACACAGGCCCCGGCAGTCCCCTTTCCGGTGTACGGGGTGGGGGTGGGGGACAGCACCTACATCACCACCTTTTAAGTAACTGCCGAGGTATTCTGAATTACAGTGTTGGCGTGGCGGGTTAATACACTGGACTACAAGGTCAGCAGTTCAACCAGCCGCTCCTAGGAAACCGTGTACAGGGTTGCTATGGGTTGGAACCAACTCAATGGTACGCACATGTACACCGACACACACACACACAAAGTGTTATTGCTAAGTGTTGTTGAGTCGATTCCGACCATAGCAACCCTGGGTAGAGGGTTTATAAGGAGCAGCTGGGGAGTTGGAATGCTGGCCTTGCAGCTAGCAGTGCGGTGCTTCCCCGAGAGCGCCACAGCAGAGCTCACTCTTCTGTCGTTGTCATTGTTAAGAACTATCAAGTCGGTTCCGAGTAACAGCAACCCTGTATTGGTTTTCCTAGGAGCGGCTGGTGGGTTTGAACCACCAACCTTGCAGTTAGCAGTCCAGCGCTTATCCTGCAGCACCACACCAGGAGTCCGTAGTAGTTATTCAAAGGCAATTATTAATTTACAAACCTGTGAAATGAGGATGTTTTAACCCTTGAAAACCAGTAGGAAAGAGAACCCTCTGGGCTCTCTCTTTTGAAAGAAGAAAAGGCTTGGGCTCCCTGAGGGAACCTGACACGGACATGAACCTTTTATGTCTGAGGAGTAACAGCCACTCAGTTCCACAGAGGAGCCCTCCTGTGTGCGAGACCTTCCCACACTTGTCGATACAGACTCCTTCCCACACTTGTAGTTACAGATTCTGTAACAACCAATGTTTACTCTATGCACCACACCTGTCTGGTTCCCCACTGTCTGCCGTACGCCTGAAAAAGCAGGAACGATGTCCTAAATATTTAATCAGTGGATAAATAAACTGTAACATAGGAAAAAGCAGGAAAAGGCAGAGGGACAGGGCTAGGAACACGCCAATACTCTGAGGACGCGAGCGTTACAGACACAGTACACACTGGGAAAAATGAGCGTGACAACAGCGGGGCCACGGGACACACCCACTCAGCAGGCAGCGAGTCCACTTCTCAGTCTTCCTCGTCGGGAGGGATGCCCAGTTCTTCATCCGTCCACTTGGAGGGATCAGGGTATGGGAAGTGACCCTGAGCAACGAACGAGTACATGGAAAACAGTCAAAAGCCTGAAATCTACCAATTAGACTTAACAAAGCAACTGTGGCAGGGAAAGGTGACCAGGTTACCGCCAAAGGCACGGCCCCTGGCATTGGTGCTGGGACAAAATTGGCGGCTTTCACGGGCACAGGCCCACTGTTCTTCGGTCTGTCCATTATGGGCCAGGGTCTAGGCTTGAACTACCTCCCCACTGTGGAGCTCCACCAGTGCCCACAGCAGGTGTCTGTGGCTGAGAGGCAGCCCCCACTTCACCTGGGCCATTCCTGCTGTGAGGTGTGAGGACCCCAGGGGTCATCACCTGCCACCCCACCTCAGGGTACATCAGGCTGTGCTTTCACTTCATGCCAGATGGCCACAGATATTCCGACAGCTGACCTTCCAACCATAGAGGAACTGCCAACTCACTGAGAAGTACTGAGGAAAGGGGGTGTGAAGCAACCTAGAGCTCTGAAAACTCACACCCTGCTGGCATTTAAGATCTATTCCTATCTGGAAACAAAAGCAAATTTACTACAGTTCTAGGACACGAGGCCTCGCAAGCAGAGATTTCAGTGTCTTGAAGGTGTGGCTTCCTGGAGACAGGGTCTGTGCAAGTCAAGGAGCCAGATGGTGGCTCAGAACTTGTTACTGTCACCACTCACTGTCAAGATTTACTGGACTGAGAAGCCCTGGTGGGGCACTGGGTTAAGCACTGGGCAGTTAATGGGAAGGTGAGTGGTTTGGACCTATCAGCTGCTCCATAGGAGAAAGATCAACCAATCGGCTTCTGCAAAGATTTACAGCCTCAGAAACTCTGGCCTATCGGGTGGCTGGGAATGGAAACAGGCTGGACGCACTGGGTTTTGGATTTAATCAGTATTCTAGAGAGTACTGAACAGCTCTTTAGCCAATACAGGGCCCTCAGCTAGAGGACCACTAAGTTCACTTTCAGCCTGGCTGCCCTGGGTCTCCTGACAGGCAGCCGAGAAGACATTCATTAAGAAAGGAATTTAAGCGTGAGACTGAAAATTGGCCCAAATCTGCAACCTTTACCAACGGAGAAACCCCTATTTTGGAGTATTTGTTTCTGACCTCCCTTCCAAATACGGCAGCCAAACAAATCAACCCATCCTAATCCTGCGTCCTTGGGCAGCAAGGTCAGAAGTCCCGGGCCGTCTAGAGCCGGCACGACAGACTAAGCGTTCACCTGACCACCCGCCACCCACAGCCACCACGATCCCCGTACACTCACCAGCACAGCGTCCGACTCGTGCCAGAAGCGCCAGAGAATCCAAAACCACATGGTCCCGCTTAAGAACTCGGCCAGGATCACCTGGGACCTGGTCAGCTGGGGGAACTGTCGGTAGCGGGGCTCGATGTGGACGTTGCCACCGGCGCTGCGAGGCAGAGAGGACCGTCAGCGCCCACCTCGCGAGCGGCCCAGCCTCCGAGGAGAGACGAGGACCGCGGAGCCGCCAACCCGGTCATAGCTCGTCCCCAGAAAGCTCTACGCCTAGCAGCGGCCACTGGGCACCAGAACCGGGGGTGTGGACGGCGGAGTGGGCCTGGAGCTAGGAGGTCCCAGTTGATCCAGGAAAACCAACCAGCAGATGTTCGCCCTCCCAGCCCGGCCCCGGCGCCCGGCGCCCAGCGTCCACGACAGACTACAACCCCCAGCATGCCCCGCGGCAAGACCGCACCGGGGACCCGGACCCGTCCGCCAAGGGTCAAGGTGAGAGGGTCTAGAGCCCGAGCGTCTCAGCACAGCAGCAGGCGTAGCCTCCCCACCCGACACTCACTGACGGACGCCCCAGTCCCCCGCCGCCCGCTGGCCTCGGCCTTGGAAGAGCCGGCCTCCACCGCGAACAAGAGGCGCCAACCGCTTTACAAACGACATGACAGCCAGCTTCTGCTCAACGCTCGCAGGCCGCGCTGCCTGGCGTCACTTCCGCCCGGAGGCCCGGCCCGCCCCGACCGTCACTGTAATGCCGGTGCTCATCTTTTCTCAAGGATCCGAGGGCGGTGGCAGCATCTGTCCGCGAATCAAAGTCCAACATGCCTCAGTAGTTTTCATCTTTTCCCTAGCAAGGAGACGAAATCCAGGGCCTCTTCTGCATGATAGACGTTTCCTTGGAGGTGAGGAGGCACAACCCTCGACCCCTGAAAATGCGAGTGGTGTGGGCGGGGTTAAATGTTGCTAAGAGACGGTCTGACGGGGCGGGGCTGGCAGGAGCCGCTTGCTGCTCAAATTGGACCGCGGGTTCCGGCTATGGAGAGCGGAGGCTGAGGATGTCCAAAAGGCTGTTTTATGACCCGGTTTGGCAGGCCTTTAATGCTTCCCCTTAGGAGCCCCTGTTTGTTACATTTCTGTTAATACATAAAACCTCAAACAATCCTAAACTTGCCCTTCCCTGCCTTTGCGTATCTATTAACTGGGGTGTTTTCACACCTGACCTGCCCCTCTACCAGCTGCCCTGGCATTAATGGCTCGTCTTATGTCTGACTTCTAGATCTTTCCTGAACTAGTCAGTCATTCATAAAATTTGTCTTCTCTCCTCCAAGAGGCTTACGGTTGTTGTTAAGTGCCTTTGAGTCGGTTCCGACCCATAGCGACCCTGTATAGGGTTTCCGAGGAGCAGCTGGTGAGCTTGAACCACCCGGACCTTGCAGTTCAAACGGCTTTGCAGTCTGGCGCATTAACCCACAGTGCCACTGTCTGTGTGTGTGTGTGTGTGTCGCATTGACCCACAGTGCCACTTTGTGTGTGTGTGTGTGTGTAAGTTTTTATTCCTAAATGAAAATATGAAAATACGTGGACTGGTAGTATCCAAATCACAGAACCCAGCTTCAAATCAAGGAATCTGCATTTTAGCAGACTTTTGGTAGAAAATGGCCAGGATTCTTTAGTCCCTAGTGGAGTCCTGGGTTGATGCGCTGGGCAGCAAGGTCGGTTTGAACCTCAGAGTCACCAGTTCGAGCTCACCAGTCACACCTCGGAAACCCTATACAGGGTCACTGTGAGTCCACGGTGTGAGTCCACGGCACTTAACAAGTCAACGCTCAATTCTTGGCTTTTGTTTATGTCAATCTTTGAGGCCCTTAACTTTGCCTTCCATTCCGTCCTGGATAGGACAGCAAGCTTCTCTCTGTCCTACAAATTCTTAAGGCCTCATTTTCTGTAGTTTTCCTAAAAAAATCTCCAGGCTTAAGTAAATATAAATTTAGCCTGCCCACCTTACAATTTCACACCCTGGAGATTTCTTATGGATCTAAATGTTCCACATTGAAAAATCCACATTTGTGGAGCTACAGGTCTGAATTTAGGAAAATGAATGTATTGAATGTGATTGATACCTTTCCTTCTGTGCAAGACATTGGACTCCATGTCCTTTTGTCTGTAACAGGAAACCTCTCACCCACATGAACCTTGCTGGGTCTGACCTGTAGGACCCCTCTCCCCTTGCTCATTGAATTTCTAAGTAGTATGTAAATTAGGAACAACAATCCACTGTTTCCTGGATGAAAGTTGGCTTTCCAGTTGATAATGCAAACAAGAGTGACTTTCTATAGGCTGCCATTCAATAGTTATGCTCTCTGTTGAATATCCAAACACATGAAGGTATGTTGTTGTTGTTGTTGTTGTTAGGTGCCATTGAATCAGTACCAACTCATAGCGACCCTATGCACAACAGAACGAAACACTGCCCGATCCTGGGCCAACCACACTATTGTTGCCACACTTGAGTCCATGGATGCTGCCACTTGGTCAATCTCATTGGGGGTCTTCCTCTTTTTCTCTGACCCTCCACCATACCAAACATGATATCCTTCTCCAGTGACTTCCTGACAATATGTCCGAAGTATGAGAGACTAAGTTTGGCCATCTTGGCCTCCAAGGAGCACTCTGGCTGTACTTCTTGCAAAACGGATCTATTGGTTCTTTTGCCAGCCCATGGCACTTTGAATATTCTCCTCTAATACCATAACTCAAAAGCATCAATTCTTTTACTGTCTTCCTTATTCGCTGTCCAGCTTTCACATGCATATGAGGTTATTGAAAATACCATGGCTTGGGTCAGGCGCACCTTAGTCTTCAAGCTGACATCTTTGCTCTTCAACGCTTTAAAAAGGTCTTGTGCAGCAGATTTGCCTAATGCAATACGTTGTTTGATTTCTTGGCTGCTGCTTCCATGAGTGTTGATAGTTGATCCAAGAAGAATGAAGTCCTTGACAACGGCAATCTTTTCTCCATTGATAAGAATGTTATTTATTGGTCCAGTGGTGAGGATTTTTATTTTCTTTACATTGAGATTTAATCCATACCGAAGGTATAAAGTCTGTGAATTGGGAGGACAGAGACTTTCTGCGTATCCTGACCCTTCTCTGCCTCAGCTTCAAAGAGCAATATTAAGATTCCAAGATAACAGAAAAAGCATAATTTTAAAATAAAAGGCAGAGAACTTGAAATGCTCTGAAGTTCACATCCCAGTTCTGACAAATATTGGCTCCAACTCACATAACTCCATGTACAACAGAACAAACCGTTGCCCAATCCCCCACCATCTTCATGGGCTTGAGTTCATTGTTGGCCTGTATGATCCTGTTTAGGTTCTAATAGAGAACCTTTTTGCTGATTGAACAAAAACTGATCAGGAGGCAGTCTGACAGACATTGGTTTATTTCAAAGGAAAACTTACAGGGACTATAATACTGTTTCCAGTGGCAAGATTCCAGCCAGGGGGCAGTTGAAACCCTTTGATACTACTGAGTAAATGGTCAGGGAAGGGAACCCTGACACCGAGAGTGAAATAATGAGAAGGGTGTTCCGGCAGGCACAGCAACAGGGTTGAGGGGCAATGTGGTAAATAATGCACATTGCTTGTGTGAATGTTTTTGGCGAGTTCACAGCTTTTGTCCTGTGAGAAACATTGTCGATACCCCTGATACTGCCTCAGTCCCTCTTGGTTATGAGATCACCAAGGAGTAATCACAAGTGCTTACTGACAAACAGGACATCTATTTGGTACTCATTTTAGTGGGAGTGAGGGTTTTTTTATTTGATTTTGCAAAATCGGGCGCCAAACCCAGAAGATACAGGCAGAGCACCACTACTCGGCAGTTTTACAAAGAATTTATCCCTGTATCTCAAGGAAGTCGCTCCCCCATCCTCCTTGACTATGGGCTTAACATCTTTTCCCAGACACCACCTACTTTCTCTTGATGGTAGCATTCTTATTTAAAGTTCCTAGTCATAGCACAGACTTCTTTTCCCCTTCCCCAATTCATTCTGCTTACATACCCCAGGTGTACATCAATAATCTATGTCTGACCTAGCAATTTCTTGGACCCTTTATTCCTGAAGCTGGACCGTCTTGAGAATTTATTTCTCACAGTCCCTACAGATCCATAGGTTTTGGGGTTGTTGTGTTTTGTTTTTTTTTTACAATTTTTATTCTATGTTTAGTCATGCCAGTTAGCTCTATACAAAGATGGAGTACAAAATATAGATAGATAGATAGATAGGGATGCACATTTTCCCTAATTGCTTTTATTCCCTATATAATTACAAGTTTTAACTGTTTGTGTGTGTGTGTGTGTGTGTGTGTGTGCCTCAACACCTTAACAGTTCCTCTTTGTACAGTTTATTGATATTAGTTACTCTCTTCATGTTGTGCAACCCCTATACCTTTTTCTGAATTACTCCACCACCATTAATATAAATTCAGTGCTCCCCCACCCCCAAAAAAAAGTTTCCCTAGGACTTTTCCCCACCCCTGGTAACCATTAATAAGCTTTGGTGTCTATGTTGTTGTTATTATTAAGTGCCATTGAGTTCAGTTCCCTGTATATGGTTTCCAAAAAGCAGCTAGTTGTTTAGAACTGCCAACCCTGTGGTTAACAGCCCAGTATTTATGCTACAGCGCCACAGGTTTGTCTATTTCACGTAAGAAAGCATGGTCAGTATGTGTCTTTTTGTAATTGATTTATTTTTCTCAGCGTGATCTTTCCAAGGTTATCATGTATCAGAACTTCATTTTCTTTGCGGGTGAATAATGGTGGTGGTTATGTGCTGTGAAGTCGGTTCCCACTCACAGCGACCTGTACAGGGTTTCCGAGGCTGTAAATCTTTACAGGAGCAGAAAGTCTCAGCTTTTTCCCACAGAACCGCTGGTAGTTTCAAACTGCTGACCTTGAGGTTAGCAGCCTGACTCATAACCACTCCTGGGAGCTCCATAAAGAGCTCCTGGGTGATACATTTTATTTATCCATCCGTTTGTTGATGAGTGTTTGCTTGCTTCCAGTTTGGGGCTATTGTGAAGAGTGCTGTAGTGAATTACGATGCACATTTCTGTCTCTGTTCCTACTTCCACTTCTTCTGAGTTTATACCTGGGATTGTTCATACCATAGTTCCATGTTTATCCTCTCAAGGAACTGTCAAACTGTTTTCCATTTTGTATTCCCACCAGCAGTAAATGAGGGTTCCAATTTTCCCACATCTTCTCCAACACCTCATTTCCTGCTATGTTTTGTTTTTAATCATTACCGTTCTAACAGGAGTAAGAGAGTATCTCATTGTGGCTAATCAGTTGGAGTCAACAGACAACCGCTAACAATGTAAAGCATCATTTCATGGGCTTGTTAACCATTTGATTATCCTCCCTGGTGAAATGTCTTTTCAAGTCCTTTGCCCATATCTTATTATTTTATTGTTGTTGAGGTGTAGGAGTTTTTAAAATATAGTTTGGATATTAGACCCTTATCAGATACATGATGTATAAAAAAAAAATAATCCCAATCTATAAATTATCACATCACTTTGTTGATAAAATGTGATTCAGTGTTTTCATTGGCTAATTTTCAGAATATTTGCTAGATCTTTCTTCCTCGTCTGCCTTAGT